CCTTGGTGGAACTTCAGGAACGTATTGAAGCTATCCGCCAACAACAGGACGAATTCCGTAGGCGTCAGCGATTGCTACGTGAACAATTACACCCTCGACCTGCGGACGAACCCCCTGGCGAACCAACCCATCGGAAATCCTCCCCGGATAACCACAGTGGTGCATTCGGTGGTCGTCAACTTGATGGCTCGGCACCAGCGGACTATTCCCGAGATCACTTACCCCGTTCCCTACATGGAAAACAACCCGCCACTGCTGGCGTGGATGCAGATACCCATCAATCAGCACCACACCCTAGACCACTACGGTTAGACGAGAATGTGTACACAGTAGGCTTCGGAGGGGACTTTGCAGCGTCGTCGTCGGTCCCGAGACGGTCTCCATCACTGGCTACCGATCCGGGCGAGAGTTCACACCACCCAAAAGGTAAGGTACCGGCCATCAGCAACTCATTTGTTCCGGACCAATCTACTTCGTCACCACTGTATTCCGGTGTGGCTCCGGACGTGGACACTCACAAGTCTACAGAGGGAGGACCACATTATATTGCAAACTCAGGAAAAATGTCCGATAGTGAGACATCCGATACTAGCACAGACTCTTCGGAGAATGCAGATGACGACGAAGTCCCGGAGGAAGCGGAAATCGCAGGGGACGATGAACAGCCAGAGGAAGGTCCTGGTAATTTCGCGGATAACGCCCGGCTCGGTGAACCCCCGGATGACCTATTAGACGCTGAGGGCATAGACGGCATTCTAGAAGCCCTGGGGATGCGCGGCCCCCTGATTAATCTGTTTCAGTACTTTGTTCTGATCTATTCCCTCATCGCGTTGGCATTGGCAGGGACCGTATGGTTCCCTTACACCTTGGGTAAACTTGTGTTGGTGCTGAACCCTCTGCGTATACTTCTTTTGCCCTTTATGGTGCTGCAGAAACTCATTGACTTTATTGTGGACAGCAGTATGGACTATGTGTTACCTTGGTTCGGCCGGTATATCAATGGCGCACTGAAAAATGCAAGTTCTTCATTCTCTATGATACTCGCTGAATACTGGCTAGGGTTAGTAGCCTGGTTACCTTTGCCGGGTCTATCGAATAACCAGACCGTTACGTCGGACATTCCTGCACAGGCGGTCGACCTTGTAAAGGTCTATGGTACGATGATATCCAGCTGGCTGCGAAGTTGGCTTCCGACGACATTGGGCCCGCAACCTCTACCGTCTAACTCGATAGGCGAGGGATCCCTACCAACGCAGGTGTGGCAAGAGTGGTCGTTAACCGGATTGTTCAATTTGGGCACTTCTCCTACCAATTCCACTATCCTAGCTCAGAAGGATCTATCTCTTACGCACTATACGACGTGGGCTATGGAGATGTTGCACGAACTCTGGTCCCAGGTGGCTCATGGTAACACCTTTACGGACCGGGCGCTCACTACTGCCCTAGGCATGGGTATCGTGATTCTGGCCGCTGCCTATATTATGTACGGTGGGTACGAATTTAGTGGGGCTCGCTCTCAGACAGTAAAACGTGGCATCCAAGACTGCGCCTCCATGGTGAAAATCACAGTGTTTACCGCTTTCGACATTATTGTGTTCCCGGTGGTGTGTGGTTGGCTACTGGATATCGCCACCTTGCCACTCTTCCCTGAACCCGCGTCGTTTTGGACCCGGGTGGAGTACGCCCAACATGCGCACCTCAGTTCAGCGTTCCTGCATTGGTTCGCTGGAACTTGTTTTATGTTCGCCTTTTCGATTTTCATTACGGCCTGTCGTGACCACTTGCGTCCCGGGGTGCTCTGGTTTATTCGTGATCCCAACGACCCACAGTTCCATCCCATCAAGGATATCTTAGAAAAGCCCGTTCGGTTGCAAATCCGTAAACTGCTCTTGTCCATGGTGATGTACGCCTGTCTAGCCTTGGGTGGCTGTGGGTTGATCATACTTTGTGTTTCCTATTTACCTCCCATTAACGGAACTGCCATTCTGCCCCTGCGCTGGCAGATTACTCAGCCGCTTTCTCCATTACCGGTGGACCTGTTGCTGTTGCACGTGTTAGTCCCACCCACTTTAAAAAGACTTCGTCTAAAGCGCCTTTCCAAATGGCTACTCAGTCGTTGGTGGCAGATGGCGTCCCGACAACTGCGGCTCACTTCGTTCATGTTCGGCACACGGGCCTCCGTGGAGGAAGGTATCTTTGTGCGGTTAACGTGGTCCGCCTGGCTCACCAGAAAGCAGTTTCCCCTCCCTGAGTGGTTTACCGAAGGGGATAACACGGAAGAAGTCGTACTGGACTCCCAACGCTTGGAAAATATCGTGACGCAATCTTTGTATAACCCTTCGGTTGGAGGAGAGGAACCCTCAGGAAGAATTCCAGACACAACTGAGCAAATTCCCCAGCATATTTTGGATGATCAGGTGCCCGATGTGTACTTCCATCGGGATGGGAGTGCACTGCGGGTACCTAATTTTGACAGCGTACCTGTGATACCTGGGCGTCGGATGCTGGTCCGTGTGCATCCAGATGGTACTCCTATGGACCCAACCGAAGACTACCCGGAGCAACGGTTGTTGGGAGTCGATTCCAACCAGGAAGATGGTCCCAATTTTACGGTAGTATATGCCCCACCTTACATCCGTCTCCGGCTGTTGGTATTTGTATTGTACCTATGGCTTAGCGTTTCCACCGTTCTGGCGCTTTGGTGTATTATACCGCTGTTGGTGGGTCGGGCTACCTTTCAGTCGCTCTTTCATGCCCTGGCCAACGCCCGTGACCAAGGACCGTCAGGTCAACTCTATGAGGTCCTCAATCATTTAACAGGCTCACCTAATATCACGACATTACTGTTTTCGTGGATTACCGTCGACCAGAACACCTCTGTACATGACTTTTACTCGCTGTCTGTGGGTTGGTATATCTGTGGGGTAGCCATCTGGCTCATACATTATATTTTCACCCGAGGACACCATGTTTACTTAAGATATTGGGCCCGACGGATAGAGGCCGCTGAAGGTCATGAAGGGAACGTTGGTCGGTTACACCGTCGGCAACTGATCCAACTCTGCCGTTCGTCTATGCGTTGGCTACGGCACAAGGGACTCCTGATGGGCAAAGGCTGTGCCTTGTTCCTGGTTATGGGAATGGTATTACCAACTTATATCGGCCTTGTAGGGGAGTTGTACCTCGGCGCACCTGCTCGAATGGCGTCGGTGTACTCGGTTGAGCAATGGCTTCGATCCCAAGGGGAACTACACAGTTTACAGGCGTTGGTGGCCCATCGTCGTGACGATCTTGACTCTATGCTATCCAATACTAGCATATCTACAGAAGGCTCTGGTGCGACGAAATCCCCGACCACTTCTTCCCCCTTTAATGTGACCATCCCACCTTCCTTGTTGGGTGTCACCCTCAACCCGGCCTGGGTGAAGGTCACTTTTGGGTTGAAAGAACCAGCGTATGGGTCACCGGATGACTGGACGTTGGACACGGTCAAACTGGATCCAACCGCTAAGACTGGGGAGTACGGGGAACGTGTCACCGGTGGTGATATATTGGGTTCTGGAGGCTCTGACCCACATCCAAGTATATTCACCACCCCTTATAATCCCACTCTGTACCTCTTGCAGAGCTGGGCGGCCGGTTTGATCGTGTTGATGATACTTTTTTCGGTCCTCCAGGCTCTTCCCGCATCAGGGTTAACCGAACGTTGGCGACGGGTGATGCCCCACCACCATATACACCGGGCCAACATTTGGGTTCTGTTATTGGAGGTTTTACTCCCGGCTACGTTGGCCACCATGGCTTTGGTGATTTTACCCCCTGTATTCACTTTGGGACTCTTGAGGTGGACTAACCGCCTTGATCTTTTCTTGAATCCGCACCTATTGGGTTTAGTGTACCCTATTGCATTGATCTCCATGAGCGTCATCTACGGTGCTTATTTGGCCTTTTCGAGGTGGCGGTCCTGGATTACGACGATTCGGCACGAAGAGTACTTGATTGGTCGTCAGCTTCATAATATCGCCGACGGTAATGAGTAATAATCCTTCCCGGACAAAATGATACAGTCACTCGTAAAGCATCCTGATTTTTATCTACATAAATTAAGCATACATTTGTACTAGAGGTATCTCGGCCTATTTTGATTATTCACAGAACTTATCACCAATTTATTGAGCCGCTAACCATCGGTAGTATCCGGTCTATTTAAGTGATGACTTGCAGTCACAAACGTATACCTTGAATAGGATGTACCCAGAAAAAAAATCAGCCACGACACCACCCCTACGAAAGGGGCCATAAATACAAAGGAAAGTGGAGGGTGCGCGTGAATGGGCAAGAATAGCTAAAGACATCGGACATAGTCAGTTATCGCGGACCAGCCCATTATAAGCGACATCACTGGTTACGAAAACCACCGCGCTAATGGCTGTATTTGAGAATAAATGAGGCCACTGAAGTTCGGTCGCCTTGATGCTACGAGGTCGAATTTACACTGTTAGCTTTCCACCCTGGTATAGTAATGTGACCAGTCAGGGTCTGTATCGTCAGAGGAGCTTTAATCCATCGAAGACGGGACGGCGTCGGATTCCGACGTTCCGCCGTCGGGTTACCATTAGCAGTTGAAGGTGTATCATCCCCTATAACGTCAATGATATCGTTCTCACTGGCTACCGAGCCCTTGGACATTTCGGCTTTGGATGAAGAAGGTTCTGGTTGGATCATGGTGGTAAATAACAAACGAAAAATAGAACACAAGGACGTAAAGGTACAGTTCTTAAATAGGCTTGAAACAGAAACCAAGCGTGATTATCATTAAAATACAAAACGGAAGCAAAGTAGAGCACTATCATGAAAACGAATAAAAGCAGCGTTCTATTGGCTTGAATTTTACGCGCAGAGAGTCTAAGGAAAGGGTGATCGAGGCTAACGAAATTGAATCGCTTCAGGTACACCCTTAGAAAATTTTATAATATAAATAAATAAGCTTTCTCCGTCAAGGTTTCGTGGTGTAGTTGGTTATCACGTCTGTCTAACACACAGACGGTCACCGGTTCGAATCCGGTCGAAACCAAAATATTTATTTTTTATTGTGGTAGGATTGTTGTCGTATGTCGTAGGTAAATTTGTCGTGGGGTGAGAAAGTTTTCTACTTTCTCCCACTTTTTTTGTGAAAAGTCCCATTCGATTCTGGGATCGTTTTT